CGCCGAGACGGGCGTGGCCTGGGCCTATAAATACAGCTTGATGGGCTGATATAACCTGATTTTTCATCTCTTCAGCGAAGCTTACGCATCGCTGGATCTTGAGTGAAGAAGCCGCGCCATCTGAGAACAAACCTTCTGCGGGACGAGCCCTTGTACCTGAAGCCGCTGGCCTTCATCTCGCCGCCTTCAGTCGCCGTACCTGCTACGCTTTCCGGCGCATATATCCTTTTAACTCTGCTGAAGTGTGTGTTCGCCGCTGCGACTCACACTCTCCCTCTTTTTCCTAAAAGAGCTAGCATCTTTTTAAAGATGCCCCACTCAGCGACGGGGACCGCCATGTGATATGTGTTTCCTGCCTGGGTGAGAATCACGCAGCTCTCGCGCTCGCTGACGGCGACTGCCATCATTGCGAGCTACTGCCAATGGCGACTCTGAGGACTCGCCTGGCATCCTTCTCAGAGACTGCATCCCCATCCGCTATAGTGCCGCGCCGTAAAAAGCGCCGGACTCAGCGGGTCCCCGAGCCTTCTCCAGCCCGCGACAGCTCCCCGGTTCGCCCGCCAGCTTCGCCAGCCTCACTCGGATCGCTCACAGATGGACAGCGGCCGCCGTCCACCGCCGCCTCCACCATTGATGTCGACGAGGCAGCTGCATCTGCGGAGGAAGCCAGCTGCTCTATCCTGGCGTTGGACTGTGAGGATTGGGCGAGCTCTGTGGATCTCCCCCCCTCTGCCCGTGAGTCGTCAGGGAAACAGGCCAGCATCGAGTCAGAGTTGATGCGTCTGCTCTCACAGGCCGTGGAAAGCCTCGGCCTCGAGTGGGAGGCGCCCGCGCAGCCCTGCGCACAACAGGCTGGATGGATGTTTCCTGAAAAGGGACCACGCCCCGCCGTCTCCTAGGCCCGCGCCTTTTCTTCAGGAGCTTCACGAAGAAGTCGTGAAGTCCTGGAACGCCCCCCTTCTCAGCCAGAGTGCCCATCTCCCCAGCTGGCCTCTTCGGATCATCCGTCAAGAATTTCGCGGATAGATTTGCAGAGGTTCAGAAGATGTCACAGGCTATGAAGCACTTCTTGCCGAAGCGCTCTAGCTCCGCAGCAGGTCGCCCTAAACAGCCATCTGCTCGAAGCTCCCAGCCGCAGCCTCCGCCCGCCGCTTCACAGCGACGTCAAGCTCGGGACCAGAGACCACGCTCTCGCTCTGCCGGCCGCCGCCCCCCTCCCCGTGGGCCCCGGCCGAAGATTGAGATGAAGCCAGAGGCCTCAAAGTCTTCCTAGCCCTCCTAGGAAAACGACGATGTTCAAGACTTTCACCGAAACTTTTCGCTCGTTCAGTTCCAGACAATGCGACTGTTCCAGTGTATTCTGCAGTAAACAAGCTGGTACCACGGCCCGCTTGCCTGCACACAAACGCCGTTTTTACGGCGACCCAGATAAATCACATAAAGAGTGTAAATTCTGGTATACCGGCCACAGCTGATGGTGTTATGAGTGTAATAAAAATGCCCACAACCCAGTGTTCATTTCCACACACAAGCACAGCCCGCCACAGTACAGGGCTCGCACAAATAAAATCGACTCATGTCGGTTGTGCATTAAACGTAGTGTGTGTGCCCACAACCCAGTGCCCACAAACACTACACACTGCATGTCCCACGGTTTCTGTAAAAACTAAACCAACGCACATACAGTCAGCTCAGGCCGACGGTGTTTTCAGTGCAGTAAATGTGCCCGCTGTCCCACGCCCACATTCACTCACAGACATGTTAAGCCCCACAGGGTTTGCCCCGCTTGCTCTTTCTCAGCAAACTGCTATAAGGGAGTTGAGCGCGGCCAGGCTGCCCGCCGTGATCGGCGCGCCCCCCGCCTCAAACGCTGCAAGCACAGCGTTTACGTTACAGCACATCGAAGCTCTCCGGCCACCACTATGTTGCAACCAGAGCCCAGATCTCATCCTACCCCTAGCTATTCATGCGAATGCGTGGGAAAAGCTTCCCGGGGTATCAGAATGGTCTCTGCACCCGCAGACGGTCCTACTGCTGTGGGAGACATTCGGCAGAGCACAGGTAGACCTGTTTGCGTCCCAAGAGAACGCTCACTGTCCGATGTTTTTCTCCAAAAGAAGGGATGCGCTGGCCCACGTCTGGCCCCGCTGCCCGCTCTATGCTTTCCCCCCCCGTCTCGCTACTGCCTCAGGTATTGGAACGAATCAGGGAAAACGGATGCTCAGTGCTACTTGTGGCTCCGCTCTGGAAAAACCAGGCTTGGTTCCCAGTTCTGATGCAGATGACAAGCACTGCCCCATGGCCAATATCGATGAGGAAAGACCTCCTCTCTCAGGCCAAGGGCTTGATTTGGCATCCTCGCCCTGGAGCTGTGGTCCCTACATGCATGGGCCATTAACAGGTACCCGCTAACCTCCCGGAGGGAGTGTTAAACACGATCACGCAGACTAGAGCCCCGTCTACTAGACGACTCTATTCCTCAAAATGGTCTGTGTTTTCTGGCTGGTGCAAAGCTCGAGGCTTTTCACCCCTAGACTGCGGGGTCACGGAAGTTCTCTCCTTTCTTCAAGAGCTACTGAATAAGGGCAGAACCCCATCCACGCTCAAGGTTTATGTGGCGGCCATAGCAGCGTTTACTAAACCAGCGAATGGCCAGTCACTGGGGAAGAACGATCTGGTCATCCACTTCGTTAAGGGAGCTAAGAGGCTGAATCCTCCCAGACCCCCTACAGTTCCCATGTGGGACCTTTCTACGGTTTTGAAAGCCATGAAAGGTACCCCGTTCGAGCCAATCCATTTATCAGACATGAAACATTTGTCGTTCAAGATAGTGTTTCTTATGGCTCTTGCTTCAGTGAAGTGCATAGGGGACTTACAAGCGCTCTCAGTGAGCGCGAAGTGTATGGAATTCGGGCCAAATGACTCGAAAGTCATACTCAAACCAAGACACGGATACGTGCCTAAATCCCTCAACACGCCGTTCAGGGCCAGGTTATTTCCCAGTCTGCCCTGCCGGTTTACAACGAGGAAAAGGACGCAAGCCTCCTTTGCCCAGTCAGGGCATTAAGAGCTTATGTGTCTCGCTCGTCTGTTTTCAGACAGACTGCGCAGCTCTTCGTTTCGTTCAGCGGATGTGCTAAGGGACTAGCCGCATCGAAACAGAGCCTACCCAGATGGATAGTTGATCCCATAGCGCTGGCGTACACGTCTAAAGGATTGCAGTGTCCTTTGGGTGTCAGAGCGCACTCCACAAGAGGCATGGCCTCGTCATGGGCTTGGTCTAACGAGATTACCTTGCAGGATATCTGTATGGCGGCAGGCTGGGCCTCCCCGTCTACATTTATAAGGTTTTATAACCTAGAGGTTCCCGCCTTACAGGCTAAACTACTTTCGGTCTAAAGATCAGTACTGTCTGCTCCGTTGCTTCGGCTCAGAATACTGAAACCGCTTGAGCACCGCTCGCTGATCAAAAAAAAAAAAAAAAACTCCATGGGCAATAAGTAAGACCCATACCGTAACCCAGTTCAGGCCGAACATTTTCACCCTGACTGTGTGGAACACTGTTGATGTGATTAGCTCCCTTAGGATGCTAATTATTGGGAATGAAGCTTCTAGCCTCTCTTCTCAGACTCTCTGTGAGTCCCTGGTGATTATGCACTATATGAGCCCCGGGCACCTGACCTTGGGACTTTGGTGTTGGATCCCAGCACGCACGGCGTTTTACATTGTGTTCCCCTAGCGTAAGATATTACGCAGTACGAGAGAACCTCTCGTAAGAGAACGTACTCGGTTACTGACGTAACCTCGGTTCTCTCTAGAAGAGGGAACGAGTATAGCGTATCTTTGCTGTGCCTGCAACACGCTCTGGTTCGGCGATGAAAAACCAGATTATATCAGCCAATCGAGCTGTATTTATAGGCACAGGCCACGCCCGTCTCGTAGGACGTGACGTAGTGGGCGCGATGCGCCCCCATTGGATCTGATGTCACCAAGGGCCTCTCTCGATAGGCTGCTGCAGTTGCCGCAGGACAACCTGTTATGTGGATAGCAGATGAACCCAAGTGCAGACTGTATGCTATCACACAAAGTTTATTAATAACAGAAAACAGGGGAAAGTAAAACCCACGAGGGGGCAAAACAAAGGCAAGGCAAACAAGGGATGACTAAACTAGACTACACTTGACAAAGACTAGACTTTAAACAGACAGCAAATACAAGATCAAAAACTATACAAGACTATTTACTAAGACAGCGTACTCACAGGTAGTATCTCACAATGAATGACAATGAACCAGCACAGGACAGCAAACACAAGGGGATTAAATAGGGAGACACAGACATTGACAGCAGGTGACACAGATGAAGCAATAATGACAAAACGAGGATAACAAGGGGGCGGGGCAAGAGAACGAGACACCGCAAGCACACAGCCCAAACACAAGGCCATGTGCCTGCACACATACCATGGGTCTGTCATGATCCTGCCCCATGAGTAGAGAAAGACAAGAGGGCAGAATCATGACACAACCAATAGGCACGCGAGCCGTCTTGCCTATGTCTGCATGCTGCCGCAACGCGTTTTACATTAATTCAAAATTAAGGATAATTTTTTGTCTTCAATATCTCGTGGAAAAGAGGTTTTCCCCTAGCATAAGATATTACGCAGTACTCGTTCCCTCTTCTAGAGAGAACAGAGGTTACGTTAGTAACCGAGTACGTTTTATGCCATTGCATAAAGCATCTGTCAATTGAACTAAAATCGAAATCGTGTTATGCGTGTTTCAGAACGAAGCATGGCATGTGAATATCTAATGAGCCAGTGATTCCGGCTCAGTTCACAGTAAATGCAAAAGTAATAATATGAACTATTATTATTATTAGTCCACTTTAACTTTTACTCTTTTATATTTTGACACTGAAAATGGGTTGAAGCTCATATTTATCAGTACCATTTCTCCTAAAGGATAGGACTAACTCCATAGCCAGCAGTTCCCCTTTACCTGTGTGGATTGTGGGTTCAGCTCCGCAAGAAAAGTCTCCAGAATTCAGCAGGAAGCAAGTTGCCTCTTTCATGGTCTTGTCTCTGTTGCGTGAACATCGGAGGGTCCACCTCTCGCTGGGAGAGAGCGGTTGGGTCAGACTGCAGCCCTCCTCTTCTGAAAGAGTAACGTTGGCATCGCCATTCTGCTTCGAATCTGACAACGGGATAAAAAAGACAAAAACATGCATGTCAGTTTTCATGACAATGTTGGCCATCAAGAGAGAACAGACTTCAATATTTGCGGTGAATATAACATTAATTATAAGAATTAGCATAAACTGCACAAAAGTTTGTTAGATTATGCTTACATTGAGAAAAAAGTTTCCCATTGGAGTAAGAAAATTAATTCAAGATATTATTTTTTAAGTCTTAATATAAATGGTATTTTTTTAATATAACTTGTTTTAAGGATGTTTTTAGGATCCATGTTAATATATTTAATGTAATTACTGTAATATTTCCTGTATAATGCTCTGTTAAGGATTTCGGGGTTACGTTTTGCATCGCCAAAACAATTGATTTAATCACTTCAAACAAATCTGATTTGATGATTTTGTGTTACTATTTAGTATTTTGAAAGAAATGGCTTTATATTCCAGGAGTCTTTAGCCTTATTGTACCATATAGTTTCATACATCCTCTCAGACATCACAATTGTCATGAAAATCATGATGTTCTACCTGAGCGGTTTCTTCCGATGTTCTCCTCAGCGGCGAGGGGGCACGTGTCACTCTGTGTGCTATTCCTTGGCGAGTTGCTTTCAGACTTCCCAAATGAGGCAGAGTCCATTACCATATCTGGGTTTGGGTTGTGCTTCTTCTTCTTCTTGGGCAGCTTCTGCTTGGCCATAGCCAGCGAGTAGTACATCCCAAAATTGTTAACGATAACGGGCACAGGCATGGCGATGGTAAGCACGCCCGCTAATGCGCATAACGCACCGACCATCATGCCCAGCCATGTCTTAGGGTACATGTCCCCATAACCTAGTGTCGTCATGGTGACCACCGCCCACCAGAAGCTAATGGGAATGTTCTTGAAATGAGTGTGTCTGCTGCCACTAGGGTCTTGGGGATCTGCACCGATACGTTCGGCGTAGTAGATCATGGTGGCGAAGATGAGCACCCCGAGAGCAAGAAAGATGATGAGAAGGCAAAACTCATTGACACTCGCCCGCAAGGTGTGGCCAAGAACCCTGAGACCCACAAAATGTCGCGTGAGCTTAAAGATCCGTAGGATGCGCACAAAACGGACCACGCGCAGAAATCCCAGGACATCCTTGGCAGCTTTAGATGTGAGCCAACTCAAACTCATCTCCAGATAGAAGGGCAGGATGGCTACAAAGTCAATGATATTTAGCGTGTTCTTGATGAAGAGAAGCTTGTTCGGGCAACATATAATGCGGACCAGGAACTCAAAGGTAAACCAAACCACACAGATTCCCTCCACCAGCATGAGCACTGGTTTGGTCTCCATCTCCAGCTTGAAGGTCGCAGTGGTGTTTCCGACTGAAGCTAAATCAGTGTGATTAACAAGCTCATTAAAGGCCTCATGGGTCTCCAGGCAGAAGTTAGTGATGGACACCAGGATGAAAAAGAGGGAGACAAAGGCAATTATCTGAAACAGACAAATGTAGATGTAAGCAGATTAGACTAGAAATAAAACACAACTCAATAAACAAGTTTTTAAATACATTTCATTGGATGTAGGGGTGGACGATCAGACAATTTTATATTGTGATCGATCTTGAAGACAAATTATGTAATGTGAGTCTACATACATACCTAATGAGGAAATACGGTACATACTTTATTTAAAAAAGAGTTATTAAAAGTGCATTAAACTGAGAAAGAGACTTATCCCCACGTGCTCTCTGTGAGCGCACTGCGAGACGGAGCAGAACACAGACGAGCAAAGTATACTTGGGGTTTCAGGTGCATGCCTAAATGGTCAAATATACACAAAAATATGTCAAAATGTCCAGTCAGTTATGTCTTAGGTGAATGAACAGTTGGAAAAGAAATTGGGTGCATGTCATTATATTAGATCCATGCATTCGGTTTCAATAACTGCTGCTGTCTGTCATTAATGTTAAACAAAAGACAAAGACAAAATCACTCAACGCTCTTGACAATCAATGTTAATTCGTACAGTGAAGACTATGTAGTGTTTTAAATTGGGTTTAATGACTATTTTGACAACTGATTGTTTAATGCAATACTGTTTTTTTAAATTGTGCAAATAGATAAATCCATAGGCTTGTTCCAGTCTGGATATTCTCGATAGTACATCTCAAAATTGGGAAGATCGTGATTCAGATCGTGGATCATGACTGTTTGTTATAAGATCCTGATGTGAAATTTTGGGAAGATCGCACACCCCTAATTGGACCATAACATTTTAATGAACATTTGCACAGTAAGCATTTTCACAATTTATGTTGACAGTCTGAAAAGATGACATTCTTCACAAACCAATGAAACCATACGATATCTAAACCCAGGGCCCTTTGTATCAATTATGTAAATGCAATTTAATTTATGTCCCTTCACACATGTAAAATAAATGCTTTGTTTATGAATATTTATTGTATTTCTCCCATTTAAATTCCTTATGACAGTATACTGGCTAACATAATTCTGGTTAATGTATTATAACTTTATAGCATTCATATTCAACTCGAAAAAAATAAATAAAATAAATATATATTTTGGTGGTTTTATTGGTTCAGATTTGAACGTGCCTTGTCAATATTTTACTGAACACACCACAAAGATGAATACATTTTATTTTTAGCAGCATTTCTTTATGTGTCAGAATATGTTTACATTTTCTATTGACCGTTACGTTTTCATTACTAAAAAGTCAACATTTTATTTTATAGTTTACTATTGTCACGAGTTCCAATTCACACGATTTACTAAATATAATTCACACAGGTAGCCTACTGACAGGCAGGCAGGACGAACACACACTCAAAAAAAGACTAACTACAGACAAATGACTGACTGAACTGAAGGAACTAAATACAAACACTGAAGAACTGAAACAGGTGACACAGATGATGATAATTAACAAGACGGGTGATTAAGATGAACTAATGAATGGTTAACATGGTAACTGAAGAATGGCGGGAAAACAAGACATGTGACTGAGAATGAAAACAAACCGAAGATCTAAACAGACACAAACGTGACAGCTATAACCCACTGTAAAGTTTAATTCTGAGAAAATCAACTGAAAGATTAAATTAACTTTTTGTTTTAATGAATAGCTAACCTTAGCAAACACGTAACTATAAGAGACTATCACTGCTCTTGCATTTGCAGTTATGGCTTTTCAAATATAGCAACATGCAGCATATAGTTTTAGCATTCATACTCGACCTAACCAAAGGCTCTCTTCAGCAATGGTACCCCTCAAAAAACCCTTTTAAATCCCAACATAACATAACATTAAACACTAATAGATATTTCCATATATTACTGTAACCTTGAACAAAAACAGAGTTTATAACAGTTAGGAATAGTTCACTTTAAAAAAAAAGACATAATTTACTCACCTCAAGTTGTTTCAAACCTGTATGAATTTCTTTCTTCTGCTGAACACTTCAAAATATATTCTTTTGTGTTCAGCAGACGAAATACATTTTGCCAAGTTTGAAACAACTTGAGGGTGAGTAAATGATGACAGAATTTTTATTTTTAAGTGAACTATTCATTTAATTTCAACATTTTCTCTCCCTACACAGTCAAAACATGCTGTTTAATAGTTCACATAACTTCTTTCCATTAAGTGCAATGCAATGAACTTTCAGTCATATTTGAGGTAAAATAACTTGTTTTATTTAGTAAATTTCACATTTTCTGTATTTAAATGAGTTGTTAATACATTACCTAGCTTCATGTTATTAGAAGAATTGAAAACACTTTTTGCAGCACTTGCCAGAAACTCTCTCACATCGTCCCCAGGCCACCACTCATCCTTATTTGTTGAGGCATATTAGCCTGCTTCCTTATTAACATACAGTATTATCTCAAAATGTACAACCAATGGAGGCCATTTCTTTTGCCTTCATTAGCAAGAAACAATTAAATTAGCCCAAATTAAGCTCCAAATTATCTCTAACAATGATGCCGTGCAGAGTTTAACGAAAATTATCAAATGAAATTATATTAAATCAACAGCAGCTAGATGAATCTATGTGGACTGAGTGGCAATTGTTCTTTTTTGAAGAAACTAAAAGAGAAAGAATATTATGTGGAGATGTGAAGAAAGGATGGAGCAGCAAAGCAGGGGGGGGGTGTTTGGGGTTGGGTAACCATGACAACCATGTCACACCAGCACCACACAGTTGAAGACTTGTTGTCACGCTGAAGGAGATACAAGCCCATGGGCGACACGGGAGCGATGTAATCAATTTCATTTGTGTTTGCACATCCTTACAGGAGTAATAAACAAATGAAGACACTTTTAACCATTTTAACAATTCATTGATCTATTACTGCAGGCTGCCTGTTCAAGATTTGGCGGGCTTAATAAATCATGGCAGAACTTTAAGATCAGGAGTCTTCAGTTTTTTTTAAGGACCTCCTGGTCAATAGACATCCATAATGTTAGTTATGCATTTTAACTCTAGCCTATACTAACATTGGTGAAGGTGATTCCACCAAGTACAATTATTCCTGGATCGACATCTTTGTAGATCCAGGAACAACAATACAATCAACCAATCAGATTTGAGGTACAAGTTTACAGTTTCATCATTCAATTATCATAGTCATAACTTGATCTTCCAATGAAATCTCTTCATGTATGCTGGACAATCATTTCATATGGGGGTATGAAACATTTGGCTGAGCTTTAGTTTCTTAAATTAAGCTTTGGTTGAAGAAATTATTTTCTTTCTTTTTTTGCTGCTATTGTCCTTTTTTACACACAAAAAATTGTTCCAGATCAAACAACAATTGCCGGACACCCTGTGGCTCCAACTATTGAAGACCTCTGGCTTTGACTTCACAAACAAGCTTCCCTGTATTTGTTTTTGAGAAGGTGAACCATCAATTCTCTGTTGAGAAGGTGAACATATTAACCCTGTAAATAACATAACACCATCACTAATCCCTAAAACCTAAACCTAACCAACATTGTTAACATCAGGAAACGTGAGCTTGAAAAATGCATTGGCTGAAGCAACAATTCCATTTTGGCTTCCTTATACAAATCTTTGAACTCTTTTATTGTTACACTTGTTTCATAGGACTTACACCTTGACGCTCAGTATTACTGTATGATATCACTGTACTAGGTGAGCTACCGAGCAAGCTTATTAGAAAAGCCTTATGGAGCTGGTTATGTGATCAAATATCAAAATGTATAAAATCACAAACTGTGGTGAAAGTGTTTGAGGTAATAACGCAAGGAACCATGTGAAAATAAGTATGTATGAAAATGTACAGTAGAGACACATTTTTCCAATAAGTCTGCTTATGCACTTGTTCAAATATATAGAGAACCAAAGATGAAGTATGACAGTTATCTGTTCCAGCAGCCCTTTCATTTCACTCCTTATTAAAGTGCTTTATTGAGTACTTTAATCAACTTTAATCAATAGCAAAGTGGTCACAAAAAGGGAAGTGCCCTCAGATTTAAAACAGCAACTATTACAATCCTATTCAGGACCACATGAAAATATTTTTAAAGGCACTTCTTCAGGAGATCTTTCTAGCAATACTAACAAGTCTAAACCAAATCCTTTTAACTTTTACCATCATAATTTACTGATGGATTGACTGATGTTGACCATCAAAATGGATTCTGTTAATATCAAAGCTAAAATTGATTATACAATCAGTTATAGTAGTACAATATTTTAATTATAGATATTGTAATAGAGAAGAGATGTTCTACTTTTATTTTAGTATAAAGATATTTTGTTTCTAAAGTTGCGTGTAGATTTGTTAAGGAAGTTTCGACCACAACGAATCTGCAGAATTCTCTGACTTACACTAGCACCTTAACTCATACTAGCTCTTCATGCCTATAATTTTGTGCTTCACATAAAAGCAGACACCATATTTCAGTAATGTGTGAGGCGTTGTTTTGTAGAAAGGGACTCTAAGCTAAATATATTTGTCCTAATAAGGAAATGGGGAAATCATTTAGTCGAGCTGCTCTCGCACCCCGCAGAGTGCTATTGTTACAACATTAGCAAAACCTTTCAGAGTGCTGAAAACAAACAGTTTAAGTGGAGTTGTAAATTGCTGGACAGATGGGTCGTTGCACGTTTATCCAGCACTATATCACATGACAGAACACACATTATAAATACATACTATTGCAACAGTTCATTGAGAATAATTCATTAAACAAAAGCTAATATCATGTATCCAGTGCAACTGTTTTGTATGCTGACACTATTTTTTCCAATAAGAAAAATGTGTATAAATACATGAAAATCTGAGAGTATGAAAATATGAGCTAAGATCTTGTATCTGAGCACTAACAGTATAAGCGCAGACAGGTTATGTATTGGTTACTTTCTACACTGTGCTAGAAATGTATTAACAGGAAGGCCAGATGGCTGTTAACTTAGTATTCATTATAAAAATAAACAA